CAGTCGAACCTCTCTCCTTGAAGTTCTTGATGATCCGGTAAATGGTTCTTTCAGGTGCAATGTCAGGCCATTTTGATGCAAAGCGATGATGGCTGCACTTGTTTCTTTGGAGGTAACCATTGCAAACAAGAACACAATGATTGGAAGTGCTTCTTCCATCCTTTTATGGCAATCAGTCCGCTCTTCCGATCTAATTAGTATGATAGTGATTTCACCTGACTAGTACTCATTCACACTTTCACATGTGCTGCTGATATGATTAGTCAATTAATGTTAGCTTGTCATTTTGTGTCAGGATCAAAAAACAGTCTGACTTTCTTTTTTTTGGCCAATGAAGCTTTTAGCAATTAATTAAAATGCATGTGTTCACTCTACACAATAATCTAGAAACAATGTGAATGAACACCACAACAGCTTAAGCAGCAAAATTTGCAAAACACAAAATTTGTCACTGCCAAAACTTTTGGCCATCACTGTACTGCATAGTTGCACATTAAGTTTAAAAACGTCATATGGAATAAGAAATATGCAAAAAAGAAAAAAAAAGTACCTTCTCTGCTAATGTGAAGATCTTCCTTTGGTCCACACCCCCGAACTGAGCATCTACTTTTAAGTACTCCTCATCCAGTGCCTGATAGAAATTAAAAAACATGTTGGAACCAGTTCTGCTGTTTAATATTTTTGTGGAAGAATATTAAGTTTAAAAGAAAAAAATGTGTAAAGATATTTTTCTAATGATGTAAATGTCTTTACTGTCACTTTTGATCAATTCAAAGCACCCTTACTGAAAGTATTCATTTATAAATAAATAAATAACAGTAGTGTAGAAATACATAAGCAACATCTTTTTAATCGGTTGTATACTGGCATTTGCACCGATAAGAAAAAATAAGCAGGTTTTGAAAATAGACTCCATGTTCAAATGATTAAGTAAAACAAATACATACAGACTAGAAGACCACAAATATGAGGATAATGCTAGCAGAAGATGATCTGCATACCTGTAGTCCAGGATACAGCAGGCCACTCAGAAGAGGATGCTCAACCTGTTTGACCACCTCAGCACCTGCTTTCTTGGCATCATGTTCAGTTACCATGGATGACAGTCGGTAAACATCCAGTGTGTACTCTCTGTAATAGATCAACCACACAAAACAGTTGCCTTCATATTAAAGTACAACAACTGCAAACATCTTTTTATTAATGGTAAAATGTCAAATAAAAATATCTAGTCTAATATCTAATACAATCTGTTTCCCAGAACAATGACTAACACTTCCTAAAAACCATGCTCTTTGGTCAATTATCATCCATTGTAATAGTTTGAAATTCATACCTACAGCGTTTAAATAAACAAGAGTAGCTACCTGCTGAGCTGATAGTCTGTGCCTTTGACAAATCTGAGTTTGTCAAGGGGAACTCCAATGCTCTCCAACATGGCCTTAATGATCTGCTCATAATACTGCACCCTGAGCTCCAGCAGCTCCCAGGGAGCCTTCATGTTGTCCAGATAGGCATGGAGATCAGCAAAGAGGATGGTCACCTACAGAACAGAAACATAAATAGTTACACACACCAATGCCCTGATCCACTGTCCAAACAAGTGCATATCTTGAAATCAGAAGCAATGCAGAACACCACAGACAAACCTCACAGCCTGCTTTCAGGAAGTCAGCGATCTTTGACATGGGGACAAAGTAGGCTACATGGGGTTTGCCTGTGGTTGCTGTTCCCCAGTAGACCTTCAGCTCCCTCTCCTTCAGGATCTCCTTCAACCTCTCCTCACCAAGAACCTCCTGAGAACACAACCGTGGCAGAAACAGTCTACTGAAACTGACAGAACAGACACCTCATTGACGGTGCATGCAAACATAGTAACATAAATCATTTTAAATGAAGATCTTCAAAACAATAACAGGCATACTTCTGTATATGTAAATGTTAAATATGCTTTTGAGCTGTTACAAGTTATTTTGGAATCTCTTAATATCCTTCCCTGCTGTTTCTCACCTGAAGGTTCCTGGTGATGAGCTGGAACTTCTCATCAGGACTCCGCTGATCTCCCATGATGTCTGCTGCTTCTGTGCGAATTAAGTCATTACAGGCTTATATGACAAATAACGAAGATAAACTCAATTTGTGGCCATATGTCAACATTGTTATTTTTAGGATCATTTATTCAGCCATTGGTTAAAATGACTTCCGCTTTGAATGAACCGCTGAGAATGAGCTCTCTTAACCTAAGAGTGATCGAAACACTTCAAAACAGGCACTAGGTCGGTATAAAATGTAATACTATCTTTTTAAAATGTCAGTGATAATAGATGACGAAAGCTCAGTTATATAATAAAACTGTATATTAAATCTCACCGGTGGAGCTTAGAAACGTGTGTACCGGTGACAGGCTCTTCCGGTTGAAAGATTTCATCACGTATTTCATAATAAAAGCATAAAAGATACATATTGGTATGAAAGTTCGTTTTTTAAATTTATATACACGAGTTAAAAAAAATATTTTGATATATCAGTGAAATATATTATATATATATATATATATATATATATGTATTATTAAGCTATTTTTAAAATATTTTGCTTTGTAATGATAGTGTTGCATCAGCTCTGAACAATCAATCG